GGGAACACAGAGAGAAAGCAGCCATTTGCACCCCGAGGAGAGAGGCCTCACCACACCTCAACCCTCCTGGCCTCCTGATCTTGGACTTCCGGCCTCCAAAACCCTGAGAAAAAATGTCTATGTCTAAGCCCCCTGGTCTATCACATTTTGTTATGACAGCCTGAGCAGACCAAGTTCCCAAGACTTCATTTTCTCTTCATCTCACAGGCTCCAGTGAGCTCAGTCCCTCTTCTCCCCGGGCAGACGGCGCGACCAGAGGGAACTCCAGAACGGCTCCATGAAGCCATTTTCTCTGACCCTTCTCCAGCCCAAACTCCTGGGTCCCTGTGAACGTTCAGCTCTCTTCCGGCAGCTTCTCCAAGCCTCTCCCAGAGGAGGCGGAGGATGCCCCCTGGGTTCTCTGAAAAGCTGCTCCACCCATAGACCATAAGCGCCACCAATAGACCATAAGTGCCACCACGGGCTGAGAGCGCGGATCACAGCATGCTGGGAGGAAGCCAGACCCTGGCGCCGGGCCGCCTGGGTTCAAATCCCAGTTGCTTAGGTGGGTGTGCTTGAGGGTGACCTTGGGCAAGTTACCCAGCCTCCCTGTTCCCATTTTTTTCCGACGTAAAATAAAGATAATAGTGCCCACCCCAGGGGGTTGTTGTAAGGATTATATGAGTATATACAGAGCACTCAGTATTACACTGTGTATTTGCTGATTGGGGTGGGGACTGCAGCCGCTTTCTCTTGCACACCTACTGTGTGCCGAGTACAACCCCGCGTTTGGGGTGGGTGCTTTGTGCTCTACTTTACAGAGCTCAGAGGTTAACTCCAATTACTGCTGGCGTTGGGATGAGCCCCCATCGGGGTCTGATTCCAAAACCCAGGGAGGTGGGGCCAAGTGTGAGAGATGCATCTGCCAGGAGGAAGCCGCTGGTGCAACCGCCGGGAGAGGCCGGGAGAGGGCACCCGAGCGCTCAGCGGGGCGGCGCCGAGAGCTGGACGGAGGTGCACAGGGCGGAGGCGAGGGGGGTGCAGTTAGGCCTCACCGCAAGGATGTCCTGCTGCTGCAGCATCGCGCGCGCGTTCAGGGCCGAGCTGTCCTCCATGTCCTGGATGGCCTTGACCAGCTCCCAGTTGAGCGTGGTGAGGAAGACCTCATGGCTGCACAGCTCCTGGAGTGAGTTTCGCTGGTTCCTGAGCAACGTCTGCGGGCGGAGGGGAGGGCAGCGATGGGAGGCGGGGCTGCGCGGGAAGGCTGGAGCCTCCCGGAGCCGAGGGACCGCTTCCCTCCCGCCGCACGCCCGCCCCCTTGTGGTCGCGACTGGTAAATGCGACCCCATTGTCTGAGGGTCAGAGCCGCTGAACTACTTCGTCCATCCTCAAAC